AAATAAATTTAAAAAAAACTTAACTAGCAAAACTATAAAAATCTCAGTTGAAAAATCAAAGCAAAAAACTTTATCAAAATAAATTTCTGTCATAAGCTTAGTATGATTTTATTATTTTTTTTTTTTATATTCAAAGGAAATAAAGCTTAATAAAATAAAACAAAATAAAAGAAAAATAAAAATGAATACTAGTAAGACATTGGCCAACTGCTAATTGACTGCGCTCTTTCCTCCTTTCTCACTAAATATGTGAGATGCTTGCATTGGAAAAGAAGTAGAGAGTCATATTTGATATGCAATCATCAATCTATATTGAAGACACCGAACAACGCACATGAAATGGTTTCCAATGAAATTTTACCCTACAGTCTTTCTTTATATAAGATACAAGTTCATGAACTCTAACAAGACTTTGGCCGATTGCTAGACGACTTGGCTCTTTCCTACTGTTGTTACTAATATTTAAATACAAGTGGAGAATGACATTTTATATGCAATTGGAGATGCAGAAAAAATCACTTGACATTCTTTATAATTCTAGAAACTAACTAGAAAACTACAAAGCAGCACAGGACTCTCCCATCGGCCACCTCTAAACTGTATAGTACTTTATAGAGTCAGCTTATGCTCAAATAGATATGAAAATATTTCAAGTCTTCAGCTGCAAAGTAGATTGATTATTGATAGAAAATCAACATAATCCTCTAAATTTCAGAGGGAGTTTCTAGTTGAATCCCTATATCAATATACGCTCTTCCATAATCTGAAAGAAACTCAGCTACTGTAAAAATATGCCACTGGAGTACTGTATATGCTTAAGCAAATTAAAACAAATCCTTAGCCATATACATATGTATATTGGCAAATCAACAACCCAAAGGCCTCGCCGACCCACATACTCATAGTGCATTCGACTCCTCTCAAATGTCCCGCCGAGTCGCAATGGCCAGCGGATGCAAGTGCATTGCAAGATTGAGATGTTGAACGACTTGCGAATATCTTTGAAGTGAGACGAGAATGGCATTTCAGCATTTCAGCAYTTCAGCGCGGCTCTCTCGCTCGGCGCTAATTGTCGGCCCATTAGCCGGATTCAGCAGCGGCAGCTGCTTTAATTGTAATACCTAATAATGAAATCTCGGCCAAAAAATAATGTCCATAGCGGTGCAGATGGCAGATGGCAAGATGGTTAGATGGCTAGATGGCTAGATGGGCTGATATAAATATCGGAGAGGAGCAGCGCTAGGCCCAAACAATGGAGCATCCACAGGAATCGAGAATGGGATTTCTGATTTCTGATTTCTGAGTATTATGGGCGCTTCCAGCGAAGAAAGTGCGAACAATTTATGAAGGCGTAAAACAAAAGTTTTAGAATCAACGGGAACATTTTATGGCTATGCTGGCCATTTAAGCCGAAAATGTTTATAAATAATGCTCGCAACGAAGAGTGCCCAAAAGAACCAATCAACTGGGTCACTTGGAATAGGTCAAAATGAAATCTAACAATTGTGTATGAAATGAGTGTGTGTGAGTGTGTGTGTGCGTGAGTGAGTATGTGTGTGTGTTGAGCGCAGAGCAAAACTGGTGAGCATAAAATTTGGAAAATTTTACGTAAGCGGAAATGTTATGAATGCCAATCAAAACGAGGAAATCATAAAAGCCAATTTTAATGATATGATTCAGACAATAACTAAATCGCACTCCCGCACCCTTTCTCTCTTGCACTCTTACACTCTTCCTCTCCCCTCTCTCTCTCTCTCTCTCTCGCTCTGTTTTATTTGCCTGCCTTAAATATGTTTTGGCATTTCGCTGGAAACAATCGATTGGCTTTGTATTCAGCCCAGAAATTATTAATTACCAGCGTTTGCACGTAAACAAAAATTTGTAAATCGACCACTTTTGATAAATCACAGACTAACACACACACACTCACACGCATACATATAACGTTGCATGCCACAGCGGAACATGGCCACAAACACCAAAACAATTTTGCGATGAAATTGTCAAATTGCAGCGCAAAAACGCAAAAGCAGAAACCGCAACCGCAAACGCATACCAACAAGAGGCAACAACAATGTGTGTGTGTGTGTGTGTGAGTGTGTGAGGGTGGCCACATGCCACACACACACACACACACACACACACACACACACACAGACAGAAAGTTAGTTATCGCTGCCATTGAGCCACATGCACACGATTTCAATTCACAATTTTGGTAAACGAAAATCAGAGCGAGGCGAACGAACGCAATCAATCATAAAACGATGAAATGTCGACGAGAGCGCAGGCCAGCAAATTGAAAACGCTGCCAGGAGACGGCCAAAGGACAACGAAATAACGGACATGAACATGGCCATCAGGCGGACAGCAGACAGCAGACAGCGGACAGCGGACAGAAATGCCAATGTCAAAGCTAAAGCGATTTCAATTCACGCTTGCTGCTCTTGGCCGCAGCTAGAGGCAGTCAGCATATATATTGTCGATCGCATAGCTAGCTGAGAGTTTGATTAACTATGAGCTAAGCTAGAAGAAGCAAGAGAGATTTCGCTTACTCACACTCTCCCTCTCTCTCTCTGCCCTTGGCCATAAGTGTTTGAGCTGAAAGTTGTAAATGCCTCGACACTGATGCAAGTTAATTAAAGCCAACAGCTGACGCAGCAGATGCAGATATAGTTACACACACACACACACACACACACACACACACACACACACACACACAACGCAGATAGAGATTGAGATAGAGCTGACAATTTGATTGCGGCCTGCGCTCGCCTGGCTTTTCGGGTTCACTTATCAAATTTGAACTTAATTACGAACGCGTCGCGTTGCGCGGCTCAGATAACGCCCGGGCCACAAGGCGGCCACAACATGATGGCCTAATGAACAGTTTTATGCATAGTTTGGAGCCGCGTTTTGTAATGCGCTGCGAACGGGATTTGGCCATAATCGAAGCGCTGGCCCATAAATCACGTTGCATTCGGCAGCCCAGAAAGTGTGTCATTAAATTTAACTATCTCTGGCGGCGGCAGCAGCAGCAGCTGCTGCTGCGGCTGGAAATCAAAATCGAATTCAATGTGGCAAAAGCCAAGCCTCCGGACTCAATCAATTAGCCACACGCCGTGCATGGGGGAGGGGGAGTGGGGCTGGGGCTGGGGCTGGGGCTTTACACGGATGTCTTCTAAATATTTGCAGAGGTTATTCTTTTACTCTTTCTGTTTCATTCAGTTGACGATGCCTCAAACAGCACCTGCACACATGCATATATAAATATACGTCTGTGTGTGTGTGTGTGTTTGTGTGTGCATGTATTTGGCCTCGACAAGTCGACTGCTCTCAAATATTTGCGCTGACATAACTTTGTCTGCGGCTGGCGCGCGCCAAGCGCGCTGAGAAGTGCCGAGAAGGGCGCTGTGGACTGAAGCATCAGCAGCAGCAGCAGCAGCAGCAGCAGACGACAGGCAAACGCTTTGTCTGTGCCTCCCAATGTGTGAAAGATAATTATAACATGTGTGCATACACTCACACACACACACACACAGACTCGCACTCACACACTCACTGCACGTTGTGTGTGTGTGTGGAGCAGAGGCAGCTGCTTTTTCGTCTGTATTTTTTTTCCTCTTGTCTAGCCTGCAATCATCGGCCTTTGGCATTGACAGCTCCAAGTTGGACTTCAGCTCGAACAAAGCTAACGATGGCCAGCAAAAGATGCCAGCACAGCAGACATCATCGAATGTCAATAGCAAAGTGTTTGCCAAACGCAAAACATGAGCCAGCCAACAGTCGACCGTGGACAGTCGGCAGTCGGCAGTGGCCGTAACGAATAGCGAAATACACTAACAAAACTGGTCATAGATCTGTAGTACAAATAGAGCAACGTGCCCGGGATAGCAGAGAGCGCTTCAACGCCTCCAACAATTGCAGTCAAGCCAATGAGAGCTTTGGCCTTCGGCAAAGTGTATTCAGCGTAGAGCTCGATGAAAATCCATGCTTAAGGCCGGGCAAACAAATCATCGCATAAATTATGCAATTGAAGCCAATGTCCCGCTAGAAAAATGGCATGCCCTGGCCCCATCCCACTCACTCCCCTCGCCCGTACGAGTCCAGCTCGTGTTGGACGATTTGCGTTCCATTTATTTCCATTTATCGCATTTGCCAAGCTTAAACTGTGGCAGGGGGCAACACATTGATGGTAGTTAAGCGATAGTTGGGCCAATGATATATTACATGCTCATTCATGCAGCTCTTTAACAATCTCTCTCTCTCTCTCTCTCTTTCTCTCTAGAGTGCAATTGCAATAATCATTCGCACCAGTGTCGCTTCAATATGGACATCTTTCGGCGATCACAGGGCGTCTCCGGCGGCGTCTGCCAGAACTGTCGCCACTCGACAACGGGCCGGAATTGTCATCAGTGCAAGGAGGGCTACTATCGGGATCCCAACAAGCCACTAGATCATCGCAAGGTGTGCAAAGGTAAGTCAATGCGCATTACTTTATCCACAATCTGAAAGTAACTAGCTATATAAATAGCTTATATATTTGTATAAATATATCGCTCGTCTATCGATAGTTTTTCGTTCTATTGCAACTATAAAAACTTTGCCATTCCGCTCAAGGAATTCCGTTGCGCATCGATGCGGGGCCTTTTCAAATTTAATTGACTATTTCCACACATGGAATCCAGAGAAAAAAAAACAGTGGAATTACAATTTACACCAATTAGCCCAAATAATGCCCATTATTCGTGCGAGTCCAGAGATTTATAGAAAATCTCAAACCCTTGCGGCGACGACCTTTAAAAATAATTGATGTATGCGATAAATTTGCCAGTGGGTAGTAAAAAAAAGCCAAAGTGTATTCAACAATATAGCTACAAAGTTGAGATTGCTCTATGTGTAAATACCCTGTACATAGAATTTGAGTAGCTTTAATAAGTTTATCAACTATTTCACAACACTTGAAAAATTTGACTAGAGGTTTAGAAATTAGTCATTAAGATACTATAAATATCATGCGTAGAGTAGAGGGTATACTCAGATTACAGGGTATGATCAGAGTGAGTATTTTATAAAAATATATATGAGAAAAGCTGTTTATATATATTATATATGCTTATACATTATGTGTGTATATGCCCATTATGCCTATAGTGCAGGGTGTACTGGGCAAATCTCAGTAATAGAACCTAAAAAGGTGATTAAATAATTTTCTATATCCATCATACCCTTAATACCCGACCGACAGGGTATACTCAGATCAATCATGATTTAACAATGACCGAAAAACTTCTTTAAAAAAATTCTACATATTGTCACCATACATCATACCCATTTTGACTAGACTACAGGGTATATTCAAGTGAACATATTTTATTTTATTTAATTGCTTAGTTCAACAAGCTCTTTGCTGCCTTCTACTCTCTTCAGTTAGATAAGTGTTGCCTACGCATCATACCCAATAAACCTACACTACAGGGTATGCGCAATGCGAGCAGCAACACAAGAAGTAGCCACAGGAACTGAGCACGGTGGTCAGTTAATTTATGAGCTGGCTATAATTTTCACGCGCTGCCTAATCAACTCGACCAAATAAGTTGCTCCACCTACAACAACAACAACAACAACAACAACAACAGTAACAAATACTAGGCAATTGCTATTTTTAGACTTAATATATGTATATAAATATACGCATGTATATGCATGCATAATCGCGTCCATCCATCTAACTGGGCATTTCGAATCAGAGCTGACGTCTGCACCAAAAAATTTTTGTTGCTCGTTTGGCCAATTGCAAATTGAGTTTTGTAAACAAACAAAATGCGAAGCTACTTAAAGAGCACCGAATCGAGAAATAGAAAAGAAAACAAATATATGTAAACACAGGCAAATGTTGCTGGTGGCTGTTGTTGTTGTTGTTGTTGCCAGTTCCTGTTGTTTGCTGTGTTCACTCGTCGCAGTTGTAAAGTGCGCATACGCCGCGTCTGCCATTTGTCATCGTTTCTCAAGAGATGTCGCTGCTTTTTCTACTGCTGCTGCTGCTGCTGCTGCTGCTGCTGACTAAGCATCATAATTCTGAAAAGCCGTTAAATCCATATCAAAATCTTATCGATTTTTAATTAATTATACGAGCGGAGCAGCAACAACAACAAGAACAACAGCCACAACAACAATCGAAATTTACAAGGCCAGTCAAATGCGCACGTCGTAAATATGTAAAGTAAGCAGACACACACACACACACACACTTACACCCACACACACACACACACCTTTAACCCTGCTGAGTTTAATCGTCGTCGGCTTCTCTTTGCAGAATTTTGTTTCATTTTGAAATTTATTTGTTTTCTTTTTACAATTTTTTGTTTTTTTCTGAATTTTGTCGGTTGCGGTTTTTGTTTTATTGCTGCATTTATTTATTTCTTTTTTGTTTTTGTTTCATTTTTTTTTTTCGTTTGTGCAACGTCGAAAGAAATTTATTCATTTTAATTTTGACACGCGTGCAATTTGTTTAAAGCATTTTTTGCATTGTGGTTTTACATTTATTCTCATTGTTGTTCGGCTTGTTCTCATTGTTGTTGCTGTTGCTGTTGTTATTGCTGTTGTTGTTGCGTGCTGGCAAAATGTTTTACGTCATGTTTTTTTCGGCTGGCGACGTTGGCGTTCAATTAGTCAACTGTCCGAGCTGGTTCCTACTTGTCTTGTCTTGTCTTGTCTTGACCTGCCTGCAACGGCATTTGCGCCGCCTTACAAATGCCCCCACTTCAGATGCGGATCAAGTGCATAGAGACTCCCAATGCCAGCGAGTTCCCTTTGATGCGTGGCGCAATGATAATTGCGAGCGAGCTCTCATAATCCACTCATGCTACATTATATATCATACCTTGAGGGGTCTGCATAAATCAGACCATGAAATGCCCATCAATTAAATATCAAAGATTTCGGATAAACAATTCGAAAAGCAGCGCAAATCTGCAGCTAAAAGCTTTTCAGCTGAACATTTGGAGAATTCGCTGATTTTCTAGAGAATATGCGCAGGAAAGCAATCAAAGGTCTTTGGCGAACAAGAACTAGAGGAGGAAACACTTTGCACATATGATGAACACACCTCACTCAAATAAAACCCGAGACAGGAAACAATTTATGGGTGAGGAAAGTTGATAAACAATAGAAATTTAGTGCGAAAATCTCAAATTAACGAGAAGTGCGAATTTCTCAAGAACCAAGAATAGTCTAGATCTAATTTTAGCGTCCTAAGAATACATTCATATATGGCAAATCCATTTATCAAATTTATATTTATGAATGATGAAAGAGCTATCGAATATGTAAATTTTTATTTCTATAGTAATTACTTTTTGCCAAGTTGAGCTGTAGAACAAAAAGAAAAGCATTTTATAAATATTTATAGAGCAAAAAGAAATAATTCTAAAATTAAATTAAATTAAAGCATAGATTCTTGAATGGGAAATCCAGTTCAGAAATACAAATGAGCAAGGTATTACAAACACAATATCATACAAAGAATCAGAGAGCATAAGTATAGACAGAGAATGACAGAGAAGCAAATAGAGCTTGAGTATTAGAGAGTGAGAGAATGAGAGTATAATAGGATAAAGGAAAAGAGAGTTACATAAGGACAGAGGGGGAGTGAGCCTGAGAACGGGAGTGACAGAGAGAAATTGAGAGAGAGGGAGACAGTGAGAGTGCCAGAGGAAGAGAGAGAGCAAGAGTTATGAGAGATTGCAAGAGAGAGAGCAAGAGTGATGAGAGATTGCAAGAGAGAGAGAGCGAGAGTGAGAGAGAGACAGCGAAAGTGAGAGTGCAAGAATGACAGAAAGAGAGACAGCGAGAGTGACAGAGGGAGAGAAAGACAGAGATAGCAAATGAAAAAGGAATCAAAGGAGAGCAACATCAGTAATGGAAGATATTTCTAAGACATACAATTTTCCGATAAGTAATTTAAGAGTTATGTTGAAATCGAAGGTAGTTACTCGCAAATAACGTTACGAAAGCTTGGATAACCTAACGGCATCAAAAGTTTATATTCATCAGAAACCTAATTCCCGCGCATTTAGCTTTATAAAGAAGAGAAAAGTATACACAAAATTACGTTATGTTCTATCCCATCTAACCACTCAACTTGGAAGCTTTTGAAATATAATATGTTTATATATATATACTGATATATAATTTCTATTTGGCTTCTTCTCTATGTATACATACATATGCATGGGTACATAAGAAACTATAAGTTTTCCCGTTGATTGCAAATCACGCGCCGCTCTCATGTCTCGCATTATAATTAACGCCTTAAAGCGAACCCAGCATCCGGGACGGTAGTGTAGATGCATATTTCAGCCTGTTGTTGCTGCTCTTGTTGTTGTTGCTGCTGACAAGATTTCGATTTAATTTAAATATTCAAATGATTTACTTGAGCCAAGCGCAAACCGAAGCAGACGTTGCCAGCCATAACTCATCCGTCAGGCAGCAGTCAGGGCGAGTGCAAATAGGGACAGACGTTGCATGTGTGTGTGTGTGTGTGTGTGTGTGTATACCAAACGGATGTCCAGGCAAACACACACACACGCATACCTTTATAAACTTGCCCTGACATGTTGTCAAAGTCATTTCAGTTCGGGCTCAGCCAATTTCCTTATTTGCGCAAATGTTTCAATGACCGGAAAATTACACATTATTATTTGTCCAATGAGAGAGATTGCACACACACACACACAGCCACACACATACACAAGCACACATGTACGTATTTACATATACGTATGTATAGACCAATGTCAGGCTGTAACCATTATTCATAAACGTGTAGTTCTGCTGTTGTGTTGTTAGTTTTTGCTGCTCCTGTTTCTGCTCCTGCTGTGCGAAATCTTGGGATAATTAAAAGCAGGGCCCGCCCCCCAAGAAGTATGCTATGCTTTTTATGCCTCCGCTGTGTGACATCATTAATTTAATGCCTCGACTGACAGCAGCACGACTAAAAAATACCCTGAAATATGAGTGAAAAGGTCTCCTGCTGCTATCTGCTTTGACTCTGTTCAACTGCCTGATGATTTCGATATGCCCCATGGCTGCCCTGTGAATGCAAAGAGATACCGCAAATGGCTAATGCTTGGTTTTGTGTCAATAAAACAATGCGCAAAATTATGGCACACACACACATAGACTGTCATGAATGTGGCTATAAGCCGAATGGGCGGCTAGGCGTGTGGGCGTGTGGGCGGCCTGTGGAATACAATTAACAATATCCGTAGCTAAATACGTGAAATTAAATGCCATAAAATCACAAAGTCACGTGCGAAATGTTACAGCAATAACAGCAACAGAAACAGCAGCAGCAACAGCAGCAGCTGCAATTAAAATAATGTCATGAATTACCTATGCGACAGACACTTAGACACACACCCACACACACTCACATATATAGGGGGAGGGAGCAGAGAGCAACCGCTACAC